TCGTGAAGAAGAATGTTAGAGGTCTTCACATCTCGATGTATTATGCCAGAGGCATGGAGGTAAGCCAGTGCACTAGCTGCTTCCACTGCTATGTTCATTCGGATAGGCCAAGTGAGCGATCCGTCTTTTGCTCTTTCTCCGTGGAGGTGATCAGAAACTGTTCCATTCGGAATGTATTCATAAACGAGGAGGAGCTCACGGCTGCATCTGGATGTGCACCCATAAAGGGTTACAAGATTTGGGTGTCTTAGGCCGGTGAGAATCTCTATCTCATTTCTGAGCTGCTCCATTCTCTTGCTGTTGTGCTCATATAGGCGCTTCACAGCTACTTCCCTTCCATCCCCAAGCTTTCCTGGTTATTAAGTTGCACACAAGACTTGTATCTTTAATTGTCATGTTCGTAAGTTGCATGAGAAACTGTGGGAGGTAATTTCAGCTAGAGATTGATTTACCATAATATACAGTTCCAAACCCTCCATCTCCAAGTTCTTAGGAAGAATCAAAACTGTTTGTAGCTTCTTCGAGTTCAGAGTAAGAGAAGACTTGAATCCCAAAGTATTTACTATCTTGCTCAAGGTCTAGCTTTTTGGAGAGTGTAGAAGATGTGTTGTGTGGAATGAATCGTGAAGAACCCCAAACTGCATTCTTGCGACGCCGAAGAACAAGAATCACCACCAAACTCAAAGTGAGGATCATTATAACAGCTCCCAAAACTGGATTCACACAAAACCATAAAATTTTGATTTGCTTGGGAAATACTTTGAACAACGAACGGATAACAAACAAAATTCATCATTACAGGAATAGATCAAACACGAAAGAGTAGTTTAAACAAAAGAGAAAATAAATAGATTTATCGGTGACAGCTGTACCTGCTATTATAATAATCTTCGTTTTACTTTTACCTGCAACTAAAGTGAATTAAAGAAGGGTTAACAAAAATGCAAATAAAGAGCAAACAAAAGAAATATAGTCAACATATGTAAACAAAGTAAGAATACAACCACAATAACAACAATAAAATCTAGTATAATCCCAACTCTGTTCGGGTTTGAGAGTCAAGATGTACGCAACTTTACCTCTCTAAGAATAACTAAGAGGTTTATGTTACAACTTTGGTGTAGTAAGAACCTTATACGATCTGAATTGTCCCGATTTGAATTTCGTAGAGAGTTTCCAACTTAGTTGGCAACTTGGCATAGTAAAAGTTTGTGACTTTTGTTTCTATAATTATTTCTTATTGTTAATTTATTTGGGTTGGCCCAAACATATTAATAATATTTGACACCCAACCCAGCAGCCCATTTACTCAAGCCCAACCTTTATTCCTAACCTAATTAAGCTTACCTTAATTAGCTCCTAAATCTCTACTATAAATTGAGGCTTCCCCCTTGAGTTGTTTCACCGTGCAAAAATCCTTCATCTCTTTTGTGAGTCTTCCAGTGGGTTTTTCTCTTGCTCTGTGTGGTCTCTCTGTTCTTCTCCGTTTCTTTGTGAGTGGAGTGTGGCGAGGTTGGGTTGGGGTGTTGCTCCTTTTGGTTCTATAGTAGTGCACAATCGTGAACTGATTTTACGGGTGACCTGAGCCTAATCGGAATAAATAAATACACATAACAGTGGTATCAGAGCTTTGAATCAGTATGCTTTGACTCCTTTTAATGGAAAAACTGATTTTAGTATTTGGAAACAAAAATTGAAGTGTGTTCTTGTTTATCAAAAAGTTTATAGGGCTGTTAGTAATTCATATCTAGAAACAGACGCTAAGGAAAAAATAGTTGAAATGAATGAAATTGCTTGTTCCATAATTTACTTAAATTTAACTGACTGTGTGATCAGAAAAGTTGGTATTTTGGAATGTGTTAAAGATCTTTGGAATAAACTTGATTAACTTTATACTGAAACTTCTTTGCCAAACAAGATTTTCTTACTTGAAAAATTTTTCAAGTTTAGATTGGATATGTCTAAGGACATAGAAGAAAATCTAGATGTTTTCACCAAACTGATTTCTGATATTAAATTAACCGATGATAAACATATTGATGACTACACTCCTATTGCTCTTTTGAATGCTATTCCTGATTCCTATAGTGATGTTAAATCTGCAATTAAATATGGTAGGGATAATATTTCTCTTGATGTTGTTGTGAATGGTCTCAAGAGTAAGGAATTAGAGTTGAAAAATTCTAAGAGTGATAAAAATTCTGGGGAGGTTATGCATGTGAGGGGTAGAACTTTAAATAAGTTTCAAAACCATAAACATGCTAACAATGATAACTCAAATGTGAGAAAATTTAACCAGAGAAGGGGTAAGTCTAGATCCAAGTCTAAAACAAGAAAATGCTACAATTGCAATTAATATGGTCACCTTAGTAATAGTTGTTCTAAGCCTAAGAAAATTCAGCAAAAAGATCATGCTAATATGGCTAGTGAATCAAACAACTTTGGTGATGTGTTAATGATCAAAGATTATGCTTGTTTGAACTCTGTGCTATCAGATTATCTGTGTGAATCTGATTGGCTAGTTGATTCTGGTTGCACCTTTCATATGTCACCATTTAAAAACCTTTTTTCAAACTATCAAGAGATTGATAATGCTATTGTGTCCATGGCTAATGAAAAGAAATGCAAAGTTTTTGGAATTGGAGATATGTGTCTTAAATTTAGTTCTGGATCAATTGTGAACTTAAAGAATGTTAGACATGTTCCTGATTTGTCCTATAATTTGCTTTCTTGTGCATCTCTTGAAAATGAAGGGTTTGAGGGAAAATGGGGGAAAGGTGTTATGAAAATCATGAAGGGTTCAATTGTTGTTTTCAAAGCTGAAAAGAAAAATAATTTATATGTGTGCAAAGCTGAACCTGTTTGTGAGCATGCTAATTCTGTGGTTGATAATTCTATTTTATGGCATAAACGGTTGGGTCACATGAGTAATAAAGGACTTGAAATATTGCATAAAAATGGACACTTGGGTAGTGATAAGCTTATGCATGTTCCTTTCTGTGAATCTTATGTGCTTGGAAAACAAACCCGCGTTAGTTTTCCTAACCCGAATCCTGTTACTCGAACTAAGTGTTCTGATGTGCTTGAATATTTGCATGCCGATGTGTGGGGTCCCGCAAGTGTTTCCACTCACGGAGGGAACCAATATTTTCTTTCCATAATTGATGATTATTCTAGGAAAGTTTGGGTCTTACTTTTGAAACAAAAATCTGAAGTTTTTGATAAATTTAAAAA